TTATGTCTGGTAGGGAGATTATTTACTGGTAAAAGTATTTTTTTACATTTTTCTCGAGAGTTTAACACGTCCATTACAACTTTTATAATTAATACTTTTTTGCGCGACAAAAAAATTGTATAATGTACGCTGAAGCCCATGCAAGAGTGTACAGGAACGGCTGAAATATCATCAGTGTCCATTAGATTTATCTGGTCTTTGTCTGGTGCGCTGCACGCGGCAACTGCTTGCTGCGACACGATTAAGTAAAAGATTGCGAACGACTCTTGCTCTACGCTTGGCTAGGCTGCACTCATTGATTTAGATCTGCGACTTTTTGCGAGCGTCGCACGTACATGTAATCTTGACGGTCATCGCGCGGCCGAGACTCTGCCTTCGTTGACGCTTTCAAAGTGTGAAGTGGAGTGCGGCTTTGAAAATCGAGAAATTCTTCCACGAGTGTTGTTACCGATGCTGCGGTCGCGAAAAAAGAAAACGATCGCAGACCTTTTTGTATTGTCAATATTATTTGCAAAGTCGGGAGCGCGCTCGTGTGAATTACTCGAGCATATATTGCCTAATAAGTATGCGCGCGACGTTTATTCGACTGGACGCTAAAAATTCGCCAAGTTTATTGATCGGGCCATAAAAGTTATTGCGCCGAGTAACGGTTACGAGGGCAATATGTGCGCTGGATAATGAAATTAGCATCGCCTTGAACCAGGTTCGATTTCTGCTTGTAGCCGTTGGAATTGCTCATCCGATATGGTTGCACATTATACAGCAACGCCAGACATCGATCGACAGCGACTCGCGCTGAAAACAGTTGGCTGTCAGTTCGCGTCCTAAGCCAGCCAAGTTGAACGAACGAATGATAAGCAGCAATAAGTTGCATTGCGAGTCTGGCCAATTCAGACAATTACACTGCGTCCTTGTTACATGCGGAGCGGGTGGGAACGAGATGCGTTCGTACGCGCAGCTATTCTTTGCTCGCTAAACTCAAGTGCCGCGGCCGACTCCGCATCGAGAAAATTCATCAACTGAAAATGATCCCTCTTCGCCGTCGCCGTTAATTGAGTAGATCGCATATCAGCCAAGCCGAGCTGTTCGTAACGCCTCAATTGACTCGCTTTACGACGTCGATCGTCATGATCGCTTCTTGAGCCTCGACTCTCGTAAAACTTGACAATTGCGTCATTGATCTAACATCGAATCCGAATATATCTTCGTTCTTATCGCTCTCTTGCCCCTATTCCCATACGATCGCGAAAAATCCTAGCAAATTACGTTTTCCAGGACTGTGTGAGCTCGTATGGTACGCGTGCACGTATCATACTCGCTCCCGTAACGGTGGAAAAGTCTCGACTCCCTCGCTTCCACGGAAACGAGAGTGAAAGCTCTCGCTCAACTTTTTTAATGATTCGACGTGAGAATGAAAGTGGATGTGCGATGATGAGCAACAGCAAGACAGAAAAAGTAAGAAAATTCGCACGCCAACTTACGTAGTTTTTTCATTATTGCGTCTGATGAAACTAATTGTCAACATTAATTTGATCTAATTAACCAAGTAAGCTCGGTGCATATGGGAAATTATCCGATCAATGGACGTTTTTGACCTATGGCTCGTATACAGGCATTGTAAGGACTATACGAGATATTAAGAACTGCAACTATACGAGCAGTAAAAAACATATTTACTTTGCGTTCATCCATCGTGAGAATCAGAGTGAACGTAATAATTTTCAGCAGCGTAAATATTTAGATTGAAACAAAAGACAGAAAGATCGAGGGACAGCAATTTCTCTTTTTTGCATGCAGATGTGCAGGCGTCGTTTGTTCGAGTAAAAACTCACTGAAGAAACGAAAAATAAACTTAGACTAACAGTCATCAGTCTTGAATTCATGCACCGGTCGACGATGCTAGGCGACAAAAATTAATGATCCTACAGCTACACGCGCAACTTATTCACTTTTGAAAACTTTGACCATGCATGCGCGAGCATCATTTCTTTGGGCTTTGCGCACAACCGCAATTGAAATTAACGACAGCAATAATATTTAGATTTTCCGCTCATTATGCGGTGCGAGCTTTTCATGCGCTTTGAAAAGCATAAAACTTTCGTTTGAAACGGTACATAATATTTGCTTGCATACACACATATATAGGCACGTACTGCAGCATTGTGAAAGGCTTCTCAATGCATGTATTTGAAAAAGAAAAGCAATTCTGTTGCGGCCCATTGTTTGATCTGGATCCATTGTATAATATCCAATGTAATGTATTCGTAAGCGCCTCAAGAATGATTTAATTATGCAAACTCGAGCTGCACATTTTAGATCGCGTGTGTCCACTTTTATCCGGTTAAGCGATATGGGCGCGATTCTGCACTCGAATTATTATCCCTCAAAGATTATGTGCTACAATAGTAGTACTTTTTTTTGGATAAATCGACATGGCAGCGCAAGTTATCGAACTCGATTTTCTCTCGACCAATCTACCTTGATAACTTGAATTCGAGAATAAATTCCAGTCCAAGACATTTTGCACATAACCTGACTTTCTACTTGGGTGTTTTTCATTTATTTACTCTTTTATGGATAATATGACACATTTTTTAAATCTTTGATTTTTTCAATGCATTTAAGGGGCTTCTTGGACTTTAATTAAATTTCTACATAAAAAAATCTTGATTTACGCTCGTGATGATCAGGTTTAGAGGAGCTTCGTTCGATATTCAAAGGCGCATGAAAGTGCTCGGCAAGGAAATGAGAATATAGAAGTTCTTAGCTGCAAGATATAATACTAATACCGGACAGCTTCTAAGTAAAGTCGTTGACAGTGTGGAAACGGAGTCGTCGTAGTCAACGGTTTGTGCAAGAGCACATAATGGGAGACGATTATATTCAAAGTCTCTGCGTGTCGATAGAAATGTCGCACGCGCCTCCCAAGAAACTAAATCTCGTGCAAAGGTACTCGTTCGCGTCTACGCTCGTACATATCCGTGGTATCCGCCCTTTATGTTCATGCGAGTATTGTTTATGTGTCGTATGTCGAAAGGAGAAGAAAGGATATACCTAGAGTTCTTTGATCGATTGTGGATTTGGCTCGGCGTTGAGACTTTAATTGAAAATTAAGGGACAATACGCATAAACGCACGAGATACCATCAGTCTTGCGAGCGCCTGCGCGAAATAATATACGGTGATTTCATGTCTGAGAGAGAGAGAGAGAATCTATTATGCGCTCTGGAGATTTCGACGACCGAGCGCGCGAAGGAATCGATGACGAAAGCCATGCTTCTAGTACTTTTGAATGGATCCAAACGTTTGCGGGTGTAAGTTTGTAGGCTATATCGACCCCCCGAGAGTGGCCATATTTTCGCTGCACTCCCCACTTGGTAACGTACAGTCCAAATATACACACGAGCTGGCAGGCAAATAAACGCGAGCTCGCGCCACCCACTACTGAAACGCGTCACAGCCCAACTACTTGTTGCATTCGAGTCGAATTGCCACGTACGGAGCGAATGGAAGAAAAGTCGTCGCTCCCATCACTATACGTATCGAGCTGTACTTTATGAGCCGTGAGCCGGCCGACACGTAACAACTAATTCAAGAGAGATCCACGAGAGCGTCTTAATTGGCAGCAACGGACGTGCCTAATTAATTATCTACAGAGCGCCTACTATAATAATCAAAAGCGCGAACGAATCGAGTGGAAGTTTCAAATCACTTGCGCATCCGAGCGGAAGGCTAAAATTTCGTACAACATTGGTCGCGCGTACGTAAGTGATAAGATAGATGAAATTGTACGATCTCCATCTGATTCGGTCTCGGCTGCAGTTGTCTGCCTAAAAGCTGCAAACAAAGCAAAGTATATAAAGTTATTATCATTCGAGCATATCAGCAAAACCAATATACAAACAACTACATATTATACGGTAGTAGCCGCCTGCGAGCGGTGTCTATGTACTGGTAAAAGAAAGGGACATTCACCCGGTTGATCTACGATACAATAGATTTGGCACCAGCAAAGGCAGCACTGGAGCATGTTGCTGCTCTACGAATGTCACGTGCGTGTCGCACCCGCCTAAATCCTTTTCTTCGCACACGAGACCCTGTAAATCCCTTTGAGCATACGTAACGCACACTATAGGATATGCATATCTATGAATATGGGAAAATTGCTGTTTTATCGGAAACACTGATTCTTGTTTACCGAGTCTCGTTTGCCCATCGGATTTACGCTTCACTGACTTTTTTAGTTCAAATACACCTACGTGCGTGTGTTTTTTTTTATCAAGATTCCTGTGAGCGTCATTGAGCGAGCGAATTATTTAGATTTCGTCATCGTTGATAATTTTCTGTTGATTCATGCTCGATTATCCTTTGAATATAACATGCACGCAACGATCATTCCTAAGAGCGGACAAGTCTTTGGGCTCCAAAAAATGACGCGGCGTATGGAGCAACCTGCGTCCATCGTATGTCGGTTTCTCGTGTTTTGGTACTGCGAGATGGAGCAAAAAGGACGAGAGAAACCCACCAGGCCGCAGGCGCAGATATAGCTTTTGCTGGCTTACATATTACCCCTCCTATCTACACATCCTCGTCTCAAGCATCTTTCTCTTTCTCTCTCTTTAAATCCGTACAGACACCAGCTCGGTCTTTGCGTCTGCAAACTGCTGCTGCTGCTGCTACCATTTGTTGGCCAGTAGAATGGAAGGGGGTCTCAGCTTGAGAGAGAAAGAGAAAGAGAAAGAGAGAGAGAGAGAGAGAGAGAGAGAGAGCAGCAACCCAGCAGCGTCTGGTTTTGTCGAGACCAACAACGAGTCCAGGCTTCATCGCTTCGCAAGGCGTGGGAAGGGGACTGCGATCGCGCGCACCAACACACATGAACACCCATACACGGCATACAAGTAAGAGCGGCTATGGTGTTTGGTTTCACATGGGTCCACAGGAGGCGCTCCATGTACTGTTTCGCCTCGCGTTTCAAACGCTTACGCTAGTCCATCGCCAAGCTCGATAGTTCGCAGGTCGTGTACACGTCGCGCGTGTAACTACCACCTGTGTTTTTTCTCAATTCTCCAGTTATAAACAAACAAATAGCTATTGTGTAGTACCAGCAGGCTCGGCGAGTGCAAGTGACACCTTAGAGTGACAGTGCGTCGGTGTGTGCATCTTCTGTAAGCAGGATTTTGTGAAAACTGCTGCTCGAGTGTCGTGCTACAGTGCAGTTTTGGTCGGAAAATAAAGATAATTTTCTGAACGGTGCTGCCAAAGTGACGCGAGTAATAACGTGAAACGTTGAGCCGATGTTAGGCCAAAAGCTCGATGCAATCGGGCCACTGTCGAGTTTCGAATGAGCGTGAAATGATGCTGGATGAAGAATGCGATGTTGTCGAGATCTGGCAACGCCTTTCGAAGCAGCAGCCACAGCAGCAGCAGCAGCAGTTTGATGATGCTGTGGAGTCGTCCATCAGTGCCAGCGATAATAACGATCATCAGCATTGCTCAGTGTAGCGCTGGATAGGCCAATTTAATGCACGAAGTGTATTCGTAAAAAAAAAAAAAAACAAAATTTTTCTTCCTACCGTTTCAAAGATTTCATAGTCTATTTTGGTGCTGTTTCAAGCGTATTTGAAGCTGCAGAGCTATATTTGTGCACGCGCAACGGAGAACAGGTTGCTGCTGCCAACGCTTCATAAACGTCGAAAAAAGAGACAGAGAGGGAACAGCCGTCAGGATTGTAACTGTACTTGCATGCAGGACAAGTTCGACTATGTCATAGATGGATTTTTTCTCCTGCACAGAGCTTCGACTTTGAGACCAACTGTAAATACATACACAAATAAATTAGTAAGGTTAAAACAAACAAAAAAACTACTGTGTAGATAGCAACGAGTGGATTGACGAATTCAACGACTGTTTTTTCCTGCGAGTGTTTTTGTGCAGTTTTGTTATTTTGTAATCAAAGAATCTCAGTGTGCAATAATTTCGTGAACGTGTGCAAAACAGAGTTCATCTCGTTCCAAGTGCAATAATTAAGTGATATTTTACGAAAATCAAGTGTACTAATAGCTAAATTTATATCAATTCTTAAAAAATAGAAAAGAAAAAAGTGTCGTGATTACAATTGTTTAAATATTAAGTGCATCAAGAAATAAAGTGCAAATATCTCAAGAGAATTAAGTTGTCTTTGTTCGTCGTCGATAGGTAAGACGAGCAAAGGCCTTTTTGCATTTGGGAATTTGACGTGAGGCCAGAATCGTCAGCAGGAATGATCAAAAAATAATGAGGAATACGTTTTCGTCGAGCAGAAGCGTTAGAAGCAGCGATCGCCAATATGACGATTTTAATTCGTTCTATCCTCATTCTGCTGTTTGCCGTTGTTGGCACAAGGTGCGACATTTTGTCTCAATTCAAAAAAAATTCAACAATAGCCCGTAGCTAGAACGATACGTCGACGCTTACGTGAGAACCGAGACTGACTTGTATTGTTTTTCTCGACGTACTCGACGATTTCGCTGGTAACGCGCTCCTAACTTTACGTCAATATACCGAAAGAAAGTCGATACCTCGGCGTATCGTATATAAATGTGTACACGCGTTTCTTCTTCTCACCGATGACGCGTGTGTCATTGTACCGTGTTAAAATTTCAACTCGCATTTGCTACTTGATGCAATCGTGTTGATTTTTCTTTTTTACTTGCTTGTGTATGAAATCTTGACTAATTTTATCGATCCTACTGAGCACGAAAAACTTTTCCCTTGAGCAAAAAATATGTTTGACCGATAACTCTATCAGGAAAAAGTCCCGCAGTTGCACTATTACGTAGCTGAGTATTGTATTTGCGACGATTTTTTAACTTGCAATGTAATCCAATGCTTGAAATGGTATAAATGAGCGTAATACGACACACTGCATAAGAATCATAATAGTGACTCTATTTTACACTCGGGTGTAAAGCGCGTATTCATCCAAGCTTACTTTATTTTTCCCTTTTACGTCCACACTATATTTTCTTATCGAGCTCTAATTCGCACGTGTTCTATACATTTTACGACCGTTTCGGAACTTTTTCTGCCACAGCAAATTATTTTCTCGACTCATTGAATTTCAAGCAACTGAAGAAATATTGAGAGCCTCAGCGTTGTTGTAAAGTTAAGATTTTTATATTATCATCAAAAACGAGTATTTCTGCTTTTATATTTGAACCTCTGAATATTTCGTAATTCTTTCAATGAAATATCGATTTTAGTTTTTAAGTGTTTTAAAAAAGAGCATTTTTTATTTCGCATAATTTTATAGTTTATTTTAACTTAATGCAAGCTAAAGAGCTTCCTTCATTTCTAGTCCATAAAATATTATATTCCATTATTCGATTAAATATATTATATTCCAGTTCAAACCCGATGAATTTTTAAAATAACAATATTTTACTTGAATTCCAGGTGTATGTGTCACAGCGGCTACACGGGACAAAATTGCGAAAACGAATATATCCCCTGCGATCCATCGCCATGTCAAAATGCTGGTCTTTGCCACCAAATAGACAGTCTCAATTACAGATGCGAATGCCCAGAAGGTAAGTTGTTGTTGTAGAATCGATACATTTTCTCTTTTCATCAAATTCGAAATGACGACACTAGACCCCAAATGCCTGCGCGTATACATATTCGAATAACGTGTTTCAGTACACTATTGCGATACATTGCTGATATCTAATTGTCTAAAAATTTTTAGCACTTTTGGTCACAGGGTCACGCATATAAATATTTCCCACTGCAGATTTCTGTCGCCCGACCAATAACAAAAGTAGTCTAAAAACAAATAACTTTGAAAAATTCTGTTCTCGATTAATATGCACATTAATTTTGTCAATAGAAAAACTCTATGAATGAATTTTGTTCACGCGTGAAAAAATGTATCAATCTGAATTGAATGCAAAAAAATAATCGTGTACATCGTCTATGAGATTAGTTGGCCAGGTGCGTGCCGAGTGCGGAGGCACGATGCGTGTCGCATGTTTATAATAGGAGAAGCGCGGGAAAGTCCGAAAATCAGAGCCAGTGCAGTGGCTGGCTGTTCCGGTCGGCTTGGCGCCCCCTCCCTCGTCTGGCTAAGAAGATAGTAGTAGCAAGAACGTCTTATGGGAAAAAGGACTCTCAAGACGAGTTAAGAAAAGTAGACGAACCCCTCGTATACGCCTCAATTACACGCGACGCGCGTCGTTGCCCCCCTCGCTTCTTCGATTCCGCAAACTCCAAGACTGGAATAAGACGTTCGGCAGCTCATTAGGCAGAATTTCACACAGAAAAATTCGCAAATTTTGGCATTTCTTCGGACTATGCTGAGTTTGTTCGTCCTTTCCGATAGCGTGAGCTTTTATCGAGCGAGATCGCTTGAAGAAAGTAATAAAAGTATAATGTTGTGCGGGATCGAGAAACAGGCGTATGAGCTGAGAATACGTATATATCATTTTGCAGAGCTCTTTGAGAGTTATGCGTGCGCGCGGACGGCTCTTTGGAGTCGTGCGCGTGTGCGCGCGATGACGCTCGGGGTCATCGTAGCGTAGCCTCCTTCGTGCCTTAGCCGGCAGGTATATGAGGAGTTGCGTCGAAGTTAGTGCCTCAAGTCCGCCGATGCGTGCTCTTTCCCAGGCGGACCACAGCAGCGTATCGACCCCACCTACGCACCTTCGTGTTTCTTCTTTTCCTCCTTCTTCTTCTTCGTTCTCCTCCCTTACAAAAAGTGCGCAGTGCAAGTCGGTACACACACACACACACACACACACACACACACACACAGCAGAAATCGCAGAAACCGACATGTTTGTTCGTAGCAGAGCAATCGCGTCTGTGTGCACGAGCCTGATTTCCTTGCCACTCGAAGCATCTGCGGCCATTTGTACGCTCGCTGCTTTCCATTCGTCTGTTTATCCAGTGATAATGAGCGCATTTTCCTTCGCTCAATTATCTACGCTAAAAACTGTATCGACCAATGCACGTTTACTTGGCTTCCTTCAAGAGGTTATTGGCCTAGCGCTTCAGACAATCTATCTTCTTTCGATACCGATTCGATTTTACTAATCGCTTCCAAAATTAATGAGCGCTGCAATTTCTGCTCCGTTCTTTGAACGCAATACCATTGAACTTTTCAAAAATTGCCTGGACCGTTGACAAATAATCGATGTTACCTATAGGTACAATTTATTTTTAATACGATATTAACTGCTTCAGCTCCATACGTTGACAGAGTAACAATTAATACGCCATCGCAATATCGTATAATTCGATTTTTCGTAACAATTAACATATTTGGTCTAGCATATCTCAGCGATCGTTAGTTTAAATGCGAACTCGCTGAATTCCTGAGCCGATTAATTGGTGCAAGATAAAGCAAAGCAAGTCAACGTCTCTTGCGACTATATACATACTATATTACCTCGCAGTTTCTGGGCGACAAATATGGTCCTAGAACGACTAGTACACTTGAGTGGATTAGAAAAATCATTTGTTGCGCGTATTTTTTTACTCCTGTAAAATAGTACTTGAGGTCAACGTCTTGAGAGAGATATGCTACAAGAAAATGGTTATCGATGCACGGAATAAATAAACTGTTAGCTGACAAGGCTACCGTCGACTCGAAATTGAAATTCTCAGAGCTCGCTCGACTGGCAGAGTAATTTGGGTAAAAATGTACATAAATCGCTTGCGTACTGCACTCGCTCGAAGAAAACGTAACATTATGACAACACTCTGTCAAATAGCGATTCAAAACATTCGTTTCGGTGTACCTTTCAATAAACAGTCGTCAGAAAATAAAGCGTCCATTGTTCCTATCGCCCGGGCAAAAAGTCAACAGCCATCGTTATCAAGCTTTTATTGAATTGTCGTTTACCCAATTTACTCTCGCGCAAAATTCTTAGTATGGTACTGAGCGGATGCTTTTGAACTTACATGGTGCGGCCGTCTTAAGTTTCCTTGCTTAAAGAAAGGCGCGGCGAAAAAATATGTATATCGATGCAATAAGGCAGGCTTGCACACGCACACGCTCAGTCGTCGAGTCGTAAGTATACCGACTAAATATATGTATACCGACAAACTTGGAGCTATGCAAAAAAAAGTCGTTTGCAGCCGCTAGCTCATAAATGTCATTGCGTCACGCGCGGTATCACTCATTTGGCCAGCCGTGCAATTTCTCAGCTAGATACTCAATATGCAACATTGATACTTTTTTTTGCTCGCATGCACAGGCATATAAAAGGGAGTCTGTTTAAGTTCCGTAAAGCGATTACACTCGGCTGTGGCTATACACTCAAATACAGGAAAAACTTTGATAACTGAAAATTTTAGAGTAGCTCACTACATCATCTGCCCATTCAAATTTCAACCACAGCGTTGTAAAAAAGATGCAAAACATTTGGGTTGCCATGTCCGTCCCCTGCTCAAAGTGTAAAATTGTTCAATTGAATCTCCATTTCGCATGTATAAAAGCGCCATATGTGAGAGAGCCGTACACTGCACGTAGACGCGTACTCAAAATACTCGTTGCACGCATACGTGTAATAACAAACGAGAAGTGCTGTAAGCTGCGCGATATAGCAGGAGTACTGTCTCTCGAGAGAGATCCCCCTTCCTTCTGTTGCCGATGATGCGCTGCTCTTCCCCTTTGTATTTTATCCTGACTTTTTCACTACCTTCTGTATCCACGTTGAGCGCATCCCCGCGTATATGCAACGGATGCCCATTTGTAACTTTTTGCCACGAATTGGTTGATTTAAAATTCTCACCAAGTGCCGATTTAACTCGAAAGACTCGCGGCTCGCTTGATGCTTTTCATTCGTGAATAACCGTCAAATGTTTTCGCGTCTCTATGTAAATGCTCACAACAAAATCGATACTAAAAGAAACAAACGAATGCATGTGTCGCACGTTTTGTCGTGCACATTATCTTTCGTGGGCGGACAATGCATAGACGAAGAGTAGAACAGTCACGTAAATTGAAATTCTTCGAAAATCAAAAGAGATAACATCTCGTAAGCACCGCTCAAATATACGAATCGAAATGTTTTACACATTTTTGTGAATAAAAATATCAATGTTCAAATAGATGAAATCGGCGATAACGTAATAATTATAACAGTTTATTAAATGCTCGTTCTAATTTTCGTATAATTGAAATGGCTATCAAAAATCGCTTGCTCTGTAATAATTTTCTACAAATTAAGATTAAAGATTTTTTGTCTCGGGTCTATGTGCACAACAATATCTTAATTGCGTAACGTTCAATAATCATGCCCGTATTGATTAGTACAGCTGCTGTACGTGCACCCTGCAATTAAGCGATTGCATCAGAGCTATGAGACGTGTGGCAAAAAAGCCGCCTTTTTTCGTTTTAGTGAGAAAGAGATCGGATCGAAATGTTATTAATTATTCCCTCAAAGACGTTACGTCACGGCGCATACAACACCTCCGCGCGGCACTTATATTTATATAGGTATATATAGGTATATATATACTCTAACACGTACAGATTATCGTCATTGCATAATAAGATCCTAAGAGCATCGGCCAGTGAGATGGTTTTTCTCATCAAGCTCGGATTTCTTGCACAGATTCCTCAGCCTTATCTTCTTTAGCTGTTTGAGACGAATATGATATTTCTCGCTCTAGATGAGAGCTCATGGTCTAGAGCCTACTGTTAAGTTGGTTACAGTGAATGCGATACTTCAACATTATGATGACGTGAATCTACGTTATTTACCGAGGCTCTGAGTGATTTTTCATTTTGAACTACCGCATTGATTTTATTCTAAAAATCTCACAGGTATATTTTCGTTCGTTGAAAAATTGTTATTACAACTAAACATTGATGACTAAACGAATTTTCAAGTACAAAACAAACACGTTCTTTGGCTTTCATGCGAACGCACTTGCGATGCTTTCATCGCATGCAGGATGTAAGCAAGCTTCACGCACAAAATACACATTTCAATGATTAATGGAAAATCTTTTTTAAACAATAAGAAAATGCTCAAGTTCATGCACAAATATGCCAGCAAATAAAGGTTGATAGAGCTAAAAAGCTCGAGAGTCCAAGTTATAATAATAGTTTGTTACTGGTTTGAAAGGATAGAAAAGGCCGAGTTGCTTGAGAAAAGAGCAACGACTGCGGGCCTCGAGTCCGTTTTCTTTCGAGACAAATGCATGTACGTGGTAGCTTGGCCGCTACGGAGCATGAGATAGCCGAGCAAAATATGGAAGTAGGTGGCTGTGGCCGCTGAGCGAGAGTCGAAAGTGCTGCGCGCGCCTGAAACACCCGCGGAATAATATGCAACTTATGCCACGCTGCACACGCTCACTTCCGAGCCGAGCTGGTCGATCTGCCTCTCTTGTCTATACATGCTACACGCCGCCTGCATAAGGTCACGTTCTCTCTTTTTCTCTCTTGCACACTAGTATGAATGTTTTCGCGCGCAATTGCAATTCTCTCGATCTCTTGAGCTGTATTCCGCAGCTATTCTATGCGGTTGTTGAGAATGAAAGACGTGTGAGATGTGCGTGTAAATGAGGCAATGGCCCC